CAAGTGACGAATACAAACGCTGCACTACTCACAAATTCCATCATGTGAGTCATGGTAAGTATGATCGAGAAAGGTGAGATAGTCTTGCTTATGGACTTTAAACTTAATGAGTAGTTATCTCCAAATTTTTGCATTCCACTGCACGTTTACTTTGAATAATCCATGCATCCACTCCGTTTAGTTTAAATTCTCTCATATAAAATCCACAGCATATTTAGTTCCTTCCATACATTCATGTCACTTGCATCTTTTATTAAAAAATCTCTCACCATGATCATGCTCTTTCATCTCTATTTGAATAAATCTCTATATTGCTTTAATATTATCTTTTGTTTACTATAGTATGTTTAGGTTTGGAAGTATCTTTATACATCTTTTAAAGTAAGCATGGTGCTACCTTTAAATCAAGAGGTGTGTGACCTTATTTCCAAAGGCTTTTTAAATTAAGCGTGGTGCTTAGGTTAAAATGCATTCCTTAATTAAATTAGACATGGAGTTTAGTTTGGTTGTTGAACTAAAACTTGTTGTAGTAGATACTGGTTATTTTGTTCAACTAACCCCTATAGAAAACTCACAAACTAAAATTGGGGAAGTCTTGAGATAAATTCACACCGGAGATGAAGCAAGGCATATGAATTCCAAAAACTTTACACAAAGAAGACCCAGCTCATTCTTCATAGAAGGAAGAACTATGAGTATCAAGGTTTATTCACTTATCTTTGTTGCAAGTTATCTTAAGCCTTGAACCAAGCTAGAATGCAGCCAACACATAAAGTTTGTTAATAAAAAAATCTATGCTAAAACAATCCTAAAACTATCCTTTCATTAGCATATAGGAAAACTACAAAAGTTATGAACAACAACCCATAATGCAAATTTGTTTTATTCCCTCGAGTATGTGTCCACTAACGTTTTGCAAAAAAATGAGTATAAGCTATGCCTGTTCATGGTATGAACCCTACAAATCCAGAAATCACCACTATAGCTGTAGAAGTGGACGAACATATAGACAGGCTATGAGCAACATCAAAGACAACCTAGCATTGAGCCTTTCCAAGACTCAAGCTAGGATGCTGACGAGATGCAGGATGAAACCCACCTTGTATTAGCCAGAATATACCTGCTTTCATCATCTTCGAAGGGACCAGCTCGCGCATTGGCAACAAGGACCAAGACAACGAGATGCCACTACATCATGGCGTGCATCATTGTGTCAACAAGCATCAGTAATCAATGAGGTCTGTTGACGGTGTCTCATATGGCCGAAAATGACCATGGATGCGAGACGACATGCCTTAGTCATTAGAGATGAAGCTTTCATGTAGTAATAATGAGGTTCCTTCTTTGACCATCAAGACGGCTGGCGTATCTCCAACAAACAAAGAAGAACAACTCTTTGCCACGCCGTTAGACAATGAAGGAGGAACTTGAGTTTGCATGTCTAATGAACCCCAACTCGTCAACCAAGAATCAACAAAACTCAAGAAAGGTTGATGGAAGAAGAGCATGCAACTATCTACATCCTCATCTCCTATATCGGATGGTATAAAGAAAAGCTAAAAGCAAGGGAGAGGTCCTACTCAATGGACCTAAAACCATGAGTTCTCGCCGATAGTGTCGAGTGACATAAAGGTCCAAGTGAGGGGGAAGAAGGCTGACTTTTCTACAGTAGATACAACCTAGCTCTTCTTCCTCCTAGGCTCCCGTCGCTCTGACACACTGGTTTGCAATCCCTCTGCTCAATATTGCTTTGTTTCTACAAATTTGAATATGTTTACAAATTTCATATATGAAAATCAAACTTAAGATATAAATTAAAATCAATCCTTGCGAGAAGAAGTTTTTGCAACAATTGAGGCACATTATTTAAAACATGGGATAAAGATTCTATGCTAATTAAAATGTTAGAACCAATTCTGCTGTAGCATAGAAGATGACATTTAGCTCTATGACAACATTATCCTTGTTTCAAATTATTTGTATATCCCTTCGGGTATGTGTTGTCCACTAATCTTTTGTAGGAATGAAACAATGAATGGAGCAGAATGTCCAAACAAAATGCCAAGATTCACAAATGAAAGAAGAAAAGATGGCATCATAAAAGAATGAGAAAGAAGGAGTGCAATATAGGAGACAAGATGCTCATGAACAACTCAAGCAAGGAAAGCTTCAAAACAGGAAGAAAGGATTACCACAGTTATCTACTTTCGTCACATGGTGTCATCACACTCCAATGATGAAGGTAACATCTTAAGGTAAGTGGTCATTATTTAGAAAGCTTCCCTTTAATCTTGGTATTCATATAAATAAAGAAGCAAACATGTTTGACTTACAACTTTGCTTGATCCAACATGATTAACTCAACATGTCTTGTTCCTTAAGCTTGTTCATTGCACCTCTTTCTTGATCTCATAATCTTAATCAAATGAGCTAAAATATTGCATATCTTATCATTGGAAGATGATAGTCATAATCATGTAAGGTTTGATACATTATAGATAGTCCTTCCATAGGTTAAGCAACTCCACTCTTATTGACAAATGTACTCAAATGCCACATTAATACTCATCCTTCTGATCTTGTCACCCATGTTGTAAGAATGAATGCACATAACGTCAACTATAACATGATTTGATGTGCCTAGGCTAAAAAAAAATAAAGTTTTGGTTCTGTTGGTGTCTTCCCATCAACAGAACCCATACACTTGATCTCTACCTTGTTTTTATGAGCAAAACACACTTCGATCAAAGTATGGGGGAGTTTATCCCCCAAATTCTATAAGTGAAAGTTTTGAATTGGCAATAATGATGCACACAAGATGTCGCCAGCTTCTAATACTAATGCCTAAACAAAGAGGGAGAATAAGTCAAGAAAGATGAACTTGTTAGACTAAAATCAAATTTAAAACCAAGACGGGTTTGACAAAAGAAGGTGACATCACCATTGGAAGCGCCACTACTGGAGGTGCCACCCCAAGAATCCTCATCTTCAAGAGCAAACTGAGGTACAATGCACTTCCATAGCTACCAAGGGTAAGATCATGAAGCAACCTCAAGTGGGCATCAGGGAGGACGCATGTCTTTCTCTGGACGACGATATTATGACTCTCAGGAGGCCTTCTACCGCTTTGACAATAGACTCGCAACCATTGAAGAGATAAATGCTGCCATACAAGGTACGTTACACAATCACACATAATGGCAGGAAAGCATGTGATAAAAGATGGCCAGCCTCCAGCAACAACAACAACAACAACAGCAAAATTAAAATTGGAGGCTCTATTCCAGCACCTCCACATTCGGCCACCTCGTTGAGCAACCACATCAACAATTAGCTTGGGGGAGGAGCATCCCCCATGTATCCAGCTAAGTATCTCTTTTCCCTTATTATTTTTACTATTCTTAGTTCGCTTTATATATCTAAAAGAAAGATGAATAACTAAAACAAAATAAAAAGTTATCTTTATAGAGATATTTATAGTTATAATGCGTGAACTAAAAATAAAAATAAAATAAAAGAGTAAATTGCATGAGTGGTCCTTAAAGTATTGAGTGGTTTTCATCTAGGTCACCAAACTATGAAATCGCACGTTTGGCTGCCTAATGTATTTAAGTGATTTCATCTAGGTAAAAAATAGACATTAGGAGGGTTAGAAGCTGACGTGGTCGTTCACGTGGACATGATTTGAACATAAAGACCCGAGGCGAGGGTCCCACGATACCCAGTGTCCACTCCCACGGATTTGCATGAGCAGGTGCTGCTGCTTGGTCACGCGTTCAGCCACGCATCCTTGAGCACCACGGCCCGGCCAGCCTGGTCGCGCTCGGTGTCCCGCCATGAAGCGCCCACATAAGCGATCGCAGTGCGCCAGCCGCGACAGCCTTGTGACGCCAAGGCCAAATACGAACAACCCCCACCGTGCTCCCGTAGTCCACGGACCGCTCGTCGTGGCTGGTCACGTGGATCACGGCCGCCTCCAGCTCGAGTCTCCTCAGCGCCGGTGCGGCCACCACGGAGGCCGGCCGTGGCCGCAGCGCCGCCACGCGCGTTAGGTGGCACGGCAGGTCTCGTCATGGAGCTCGCGATGCTGCCGATGGTGCCACCGGGGAGGAGCGGTTGTCGGACGCCGACACAACGGCGTCATCTACGGCCACACCCAAATCCAGCATGTCTTGCCTGTGGGCAACCCCACGGTAGCCGCCATCGCTCACGTGCTCAACAACCGGCACGAGTTCCCTGCCGCGGCCACCATTGACGACCTCCTCATCATGTCCATCAGCACGGGGACGTCACCGGCGAGATTCGCGTCCTCAACGACACGACGGCCAACAGCACTGCCACATCGCCGCTGCTCCGGTCCTCTAGGAGTCCCTCGGCGTCAACCACGTTGTCCGCGCAGGCCACCGTGGACGAGCACGGCCGCTCCGCCTCATCGTGCGCAGGCCATCGCGGGCGAGCGCCGTCGCTCTGCTCAAGCGCTGGTCGCCGTTGGGGAGTGCTTGTGCTCAGACTAACGGAGGAGGTCATGACTTGACATGTCCGTGTATGCATAGGGAAGTGGACACCCATGATGGCCACCAGCATGGCCTACTACGCCATCCCGCTCGTGTCCGTCTTGTTCGCCGGCCACCTCGGCGACCTGCAGCTCGCCGCCGCCACGCTAAGCTCGAGCGGCGCGCCCAGCGCCATGATCGTGTTCCGGGCACACTGCTACGCGCGCCCACCATCCGCCACGACGTGGAGGATGAGCTTCGCCTGCTGGCCCGCAACAGCCTCCGAGGCTCCGCCAGGCTGGCGCGCACCGTGCAGGCGCTTAGCTCCACCATCGACCGCTTCGGCTCCGAGAACATCTGTGTGTGCGGCCACTCCCTGGGCGCCAGCTTCGCGCGCCAGGTCATCTGGATGCTCATCGCCTCCTCCTCGTCGCGCCAGCAGCAGTAGCAGGCAGCCGCCGCGTCGCTCGAGTCCCACCTCTTCAACATGCCTACCTGTCGCTGCCCATGGGCGTCAGGAGCATCGTCAAGACGGTAGACTGCCTGCTCAAGGTGCTCCGCTCTGGCATCGCCACCATCGGCAAGTGGCACGGCAAGGCGCTCCAGAACATGGCCTACGCCAACTGCATCCTCGGCTACACCAGGCTCGAGAGCACCTAGAGGTTGTGAGGATCGATCGGATGCTTGATGCCTCATGCCTCCACCTCATCGAATCCTCGATGCTGACTTGTGCGGGCAAGGGTACGGCGCGCGGGCGTACCGGACGATGGGCGTGCACCTACAGGCTTCCCTGCTCACCTCAGCGCTGGCCTCCGCCGTCATCTCCCTCCTCTAGCTCTACTCAAAGCTGCTGCTAGTCTTCCTCGGCCAGGACCCGAAGACATCACGTGGGCTGCTGAACGCCCGGTACTACATGGCCGCGCGGCCGCTGTTGCCGAACAACCCGTTCGTCATCTTCAACAATAGCACCAGCACTGCCGTGCTGGAGTACGCCGACAACGCGGTGGCATCCTCCGATGGGGCGACACCGGACCCGGAGTTCCCCATCCTGCCAGCCATCAACGACAGCGCGGCGGCGAACGCGTACCTGTCGCGCCTACGGTCACTCGCCAGCGAGGAGCACCCGGTGAACGTGCCTCACCACGTCCAGGAGCACATGCTCGTCACCGTCGCGGTGAACGTGATCGCGTGCACGCCCGACAAGCACTACCAGGGACCCCGATGGGGACGTTGCATGTCTGAGGTGTTTTCTATTCAAATCATGCCCACGTGGATGGCCACATCAGCTTCTAAGCCTCCTCGTGTCTATTTTGGACATGGATGAGATCACTTAAATACATTAGGTAGCCAAACATGCGATTTCATAGTTTGGGGACCCAAATGAGAACCGTCGAATACTTTAAGGACCGGCCGTGCAATTTACTCAAAATAAAAAGAGTGTCTAGTTTGCTTAATTTCTTTTAAGAGCTAAATAAATAAAAAGGGACTCTGAAGATAATCTCTTAAAATGGAAATAATGAATAGTTTTTGTGTTGTAATTCTTTTCAAGTATCTAGTTTTCAGCCTTGAATTCTTCCGAGTTTTGGATAGTATAAGGATTTACTCTAAACTTGAAACTCGTGGGTAGCATATGCTTGATCTAAGTCTAGGTAATTGACGGATATGATATGAGAAGGTCTGAGCTGTTGTTTATCTTGTTCCAAGTGACACCAAAGTTCTGGAGATTTATGTTTTAAAAACACAAAAATCCTACATGATGAGTTTCTGTATGACAAAGCTTGAATTTCCACCAGAGCCACACATGTTATTTAGGCTAGGAAAATTTCGACATATATGCTGCTTACTTTTGCATTGAGTTTTGTCAAGCTTTGTTGACCCTTATGAGAGATTTGTCATGCTCTTAAAATCAAGATCATATATACACCACCCAAATATTCACTACTCCTACACTAGAGTAGGTGCAAAAGCATGCCTTCCATTTAGATCCACCCAAAAATATTCTATTCCTACACTGGGGGTGAACACAAAAACATGCTTGTTAGGTTTCTACTCCAAATAAATGCTCCAAGTTCTTATTGCTATCTCTCAAAAGTTTTCTTGCAGAAAAGAAGCAAGGGATATGCAAAAGTTATTCATAAAAAAAAGAGAGAGAGAGAAGAGTTGAGAAAAAATGGACACAAAAGTATATGTCACACCCAATTTTAAGGATAAAATTGAATGCACTAAACTCATGTGTGCCCACGGATCAGTCACACATATAAGTTGACAAATTACAAAAGTATCATCACGGGGTATCTTACATATCGAATAATAGCATCACATAGTCTTACACATCATAGAGGAAAGTAAAAAGATAGCTCTCTTGTGGTAGCTCCAACACAGGGACGGTCAACTGGTTGACCCCAAGCCTAATAGTCCTTAGAGAACTCCTCATACACGTTGTCATTTGTTTCCCATCCAGGATTTTTATCCAAATATATAAAATAAACAAGCGTAAGTACTTCCCATACTTAACAAGACAACATGGGGTTCATGAGGCTCAAAAGGATGACACTGGTTTACTGCAGTTAGCACTTTTAGTAAGTCAAGATTTTATCATCAGTTATTATCAAGTTATGCTTAAGTTCCCATTTAAACCCACATGTTCATATATCCGATCCAATTGAGTCATGTAACATCATCATAATATCATCATAATCATCTCGTATAAACAACATTATAAGTAGCCATCTATTCTGTGAGTTTTCTGGGTCGCTCGTGACCGTGAGTACGGCTGTTATAACAGTTTGTTACCCTCTGCAGAGGTGGTGCACATTCAGCGCGAGTCGTGATTCCTATATGCCCGGGTTAATTACTCCCATATCACTACCAAGGTGAGCGGGCAGGGTACACTATGAAGCCATTTTATAGGTTTCTCTAACAAGTTAGGGCCGCTAGGTTTCCTTGGCAGGCAGATGTAGGAACCCCCCTTTCCTATGACACATATCCATCGTGGCTATACACATAGGAACAGAGGCAGTCCTATACCCAACATGGCAAGCCCCTTTTGCGCCATAAAGGTAACCTCTAACAAGCTAGAAAAGGTTCTATTACTGAGCTAAAGTCAGAGCCATATGACCCTCATGGTTGCACTATCAGTCCCAGCTTTTGCCGACAGATAAGTCCTTATGGAGGGCCGAGAGCATCATGATCGAAAGTCATTTGCTCCATCGCCCTATAATCCAGTTGTTTAAAAGCAACTTTTACCTTTTCTTTTCATAGAATCATTGTTCAATATGTAGCTCATGTATAGTTATGTTGAGCACTAGCAAACTACCCATATGCATATAACCCATAGGAGACAAGGAATAGGATAATCAATCACTAGGATGTCCTTACGGGTATCAAAATTAGACACATGCAAATGAGTAATTAATAAAGGTGAATAGGCATCAAGGTAGATCCCATGCTATACTTGCCTTGGTTCACAAACTCTTGCTGGTCCTGTTGGTCGTTGAAAACTCTTGATCTCCAATGTTCTCCTCACCGTCTGAACACAACCAACACGGCCACACACAACATTCCAGGAACATTCATGCAAAGCAAACAATCCTACAATTAGAACAGTACACCAACAGTATAGAAAACAAGATAAAATGTTTATGAAAAGAATCTACGTCTCGCTACGATCACGTCAACACGAAGTTCATGAAAAACGAGCTAAAACGCGAAAGTTATGAATTAAACGGGGTTTCCTATAGTAATTTATTTAATTAAATCTAACCATCAAATTTAAAAGTTGCAAACATGATTAATGGTGGTACTAACACATAGATTATGAAATTACAAAGCTAACGCAATTTGAACGGATCAATTCGGAGCTAAAACGAAGTTTTTATGAGCAAAACAAATCTAGTGGCATTTTTGTAAATACTGAAAACGTATTTTGAACTAAAACAGTGCACTTTACGTTTTCAAAACGAGAAAACATACTCTGGAAACTACGCTAGGGACGGCGGGTTCAATTTGGTGAAAACAGGGGGTCTCTTTAGCAAATTTACATGCGAAAGGGTAACTTCTAATCGTGGCCGCAGATCTAGAGATGGACGACTTGGATTGGCTCAGGGGAAGAAAGAGAAGGGGTCCGGCCGTGCACAGTAACACCGGCGGCAAGGCTCCATGGCCGGCGGCGTGGAGGTCACTGGCGCGCACGGATAGGGGCCTACGGGCCACGGTTCGAAGAACCGAAAGCACCGGGAGATGGAGGGGGTTCTCGAGAACCCGTCCAGCCCAAGAAGACAACCGGAGGGCACGGCTGAGGCGACGGTTGCCATGGCCGGCGGCCGAGAGCTCGCGGCGCACGTGGCTAAGGCTCTAGAAGCCTCAAAACGAGAAATAAATTGCACGGGGAGAGAGAGGGGAGAATGGCGAAGCTCACAGCGGGGAAAAACAGGGTCGGCGGCGGCTCGGAGACGGCGGACCACGGGCGACGCGAGAGGGAGAAAGGAGCAGCAGGGAGCGCGGGGAAGGGCTTGGCACCATTTTAAAGAGGCCGGGCGCGGAGAAGACGCTCCCACGACGCGGAACATGGGCGCAAAGCGGTTGCGGCTTGACCCGTTGGACCGGGCGCGGGGCGAGCGGGAGGAAGGGGAACGCGCTGACAGCAGGGCCGGGTGGTCAGCGGCTGAAGAGGGAAGGAGGCGCGGCGGCTTCGCGCGAGCTGGGCCGGCCCAAGAACGGGAGAAGGAAGAGCGAGCGGGCCACGGGGAGAAAATGGGCCAGCAGTCCGGTGGGAGAAAAAGGCCTGCGGGCCGAAATGAAAAAGGGAGGGGAGAGAAATGAAGAAACCTTTTTCTTTTTATTTTTAGAGTTTTTCAAAAGTATTTTCAAATGGATTTGAATTTTTTTTTTCAAATTTGGTCAAAACCAATCATCCTAAAATTTAATATGCAGCAGCATGTATGCATCAACATGTTACTAACCTTATATTTGATTTTATTTTCACAAAAATTATTTCTTTCCTATATTTCAATGCTCACGTAATAACATAATTAAATCAAATTTTTCTTATTTCAAAAGACTAAAATTTTGGGTGTTACAGTATCCGAGATATTTAAAACAATGGGTGCTCAAATGCCCGCTTAAAAAAAAAGGAAGAGAGATGAATAAGATAGCCCATGTTCTCTAGCAATTGTTTCTAAGTTTCAAAAGAGAGATATGTTTTCAAGGAGCAAAGTAAAATTATAGGTTAGCCACCATATATATCCACCACATATATCCACACACAAGCACATCTTGATTTGATTGTATGACTCAATTCTCTTTGGATCCATTGTTTGACTTTACAATATATGTATTGCAAGTATGCTCTAGCTTTCTTCCTACCTATGAACTCCACATAAGCCTTAGTGGTAGAAAGAGAAAAAGGTATAACATCTTTATTGCCTTGGTTAGGATCCACAAATACCACATATATTAAGAGACTTGAGAGTGTAATACAATGGAATCTCTGAGTTTTATTTTGAAAACTTATAAAAACTCCGCAACAATGGTTGAACAAAGAACTTAAGACATAGTGCTTGACTTGATCGTTCTATCTTTCAATTGCTCAAGACCCAAGTGAAGGCTAAGAAGCCCCATGGTTGAATGTAATATGGGTAAGTTTGAAAGTCAAACCAGTT